TGATACACTGCTTGCGTGGTCCAACAAATGGCAATTACCCTTTAACACCAGCAAATGTAAGGTCATGCACCTTGGAGCCACAAATATAAAGTACAAGTACACTGTTGGAGACAGGGAGCTGGAAGTCTCATCAGAAGAGAGAGACCTTGGGATCCTGGTTGATGACTCCCTAACATTTCATGCACAGGCAGCTTCAGCAGTGGGAAAGGCCTTCCGCACTTTGGGTCTGATACGACGCACTTTCCTGACCCTAGACGAAATCACACTGCCACTACTTTTCAAGGCGATGGTTAGACCAATACTGGAATATGGAAACTGTGTGTGGGGTCCTGTCTACTGCGGTGACCAAGACAAGGTTGAGAGAGTTCAGAGGCGGGCCACAAAAATGGTAGCATCAGTCAGGCATCTAGCATACAAGGAGCGGCTGGAGAAACTGAAGCTACCAAGCATGCACTACAGAAGAGAAAGAGGGAACATGATCATGGTGTATCAGATTCTAACAGGAGGAATTAGGATCGACCACACCCGGATCTTTCAGAGGGCTCCACCAGACGCCACCACAAGAGGACACTCACTTAAGCTGATTAAACCATCGGCAAATCGCGCGCAGAGGCAGAACGCGTTCTCGCACAGAGTTGTGAACAAGTGGAACAGTCTCCCTGAAGAAGTAGTGAATGCCAGGACAGTCAACAGATTCAAAAATGCTCTAGACAAACACTGGAAGAACTTGCTGTACCAAACCAGAACCGACTAAACTACAAGCCAATGAGCAGGAAATCCACAGGCTTCCTTTTCCTAGCCTATCACCCTTCCTGTAATTCAGTAAGTAAGTAAGTAAGTAAGTAAGTTGTATTTTTTCGCGCTTGCGCCCCCTCAAATGATGCCATTCGTCTAGAAACGTGGAAAAAGAGCAAAAAGAGCGAAATCGGCGGATGCTTTTTGGTGGCTCAATGCATATTAACCCTCGTATGTGTAGGGGTGGGATGGACCCCCATGAGTTTTCGCGAATAACTCACGTAAAAAGCGGCCGATCGCGACGAAACTTTCAGTATCCTCGAGATGATCAATTTTATACATACTCTGAAAATTTCATGACCCTGACCCAAATGACCTTTGACCTGTGACCTATTTCTCGAGACCATGTTTGGCCGGAGTCGCGATTCAGCGTATGTCAGCTCTCATTATCCGCGTGTTTCTAATATTTTTGCGATTATAAACGTCCAAACATGTGAAATGATGTTCGCCCCATGCATTACGGTGGGTGTCAAGGTCACCTGAAGGTCAGGTCAGGTCAGGTCATGGACCTATGATGACCTCGTGTCCCTTTTCCGAGGTATACATGTTTCTAGGGCAGTTTTTTTCGGGCTGATTTCGAATTTAGCATCCATTTGAACATTTACGAAGTAGTTTTGGTGCCTTTGTTATGTGTTACGACGCCACCAGTGGTAGTTGAGACCTACTATGGGTAGCCGGCAGGACGCCTAATGGCTGACCTGACCTGACCTGACCCGACCTGGTCTAAATGCACGAAGACATCATATGTGATCAAAACTAGCGTGAAATTCGTGATCAGCACCCCCAAAAACAATACAGCTTCACTGTACGAAGCTCTTGCAGGTCTCGATTTTTCTGACCACTGGGTCATTGACCTGACCTGGAAGGTCAACCAATGACCTAGGATCTTAAATTGGATAGCATCGGTTTCCTCTCGTCACGGGCAACACGCTCGTTTTTTTTTTCGCAAAGCTCTAGCGCGATCTGGAGCCAAAAGGCAGAGGGGTCTAACCGACCCCCCCCCCCCCCCACACACACACACGTTAGACGTTAGACGTTAGCGGAAAGTTGCGGCGTGATGGCCGTGGTTCGACCACGCTTTCGGGATCACAGAGTGGCTGTACCCATGCTGGGGCCAGGTCTCACGGCTCCGCGAAGTGGGGACGATTCGGAGCTACTCGAGGTTATGCTTTCCAGCTCCATTTGGTCGGCTGCCGCCCGCGCCTCCTCCGACGCGACGCCTTGCTCCTTTTCCTCTCTTCGGCGTCATCCCTCCTCCTCTTCCTCTTTTCTTGGGAATGGAGCGCCATGTCTGCCTCTGTCATTCTATCCCGTCTCCCTGGCTCACGTTTGGCGAGAAGGAAGGCGCGATCTTCCGGGATGGTTAGGTATCAAGGACATTGCGTCACCGTGGGCGATATCAAAGATATTTTCCAGTTGTTTCTTGAATGCGTCCTCGTTGCTTGTTTGGGTGGCGGAAGTCCTGTTCTTGTTCTTTTTCAGGCGTTTCCACTCGTCGAAGAGAGTTTCCACCTTCTTGACCGCTCTCCCTTTGTGCTGGGTGGGATTCCTGGCCCTGGCCCAGAACTCCTCTACTATAGTACCTTCTCTAACGTCCGGTTGGCCGCTTCCCGGGCCGTTTCCTAGAGGATTTGGTGGGGTGGCGGTGGAGGAAGTAGGCGAGAGATTGGCCGCGGGATGGGAGCTTGCATAGGCAGTGGAACGGGGGGGGGGCACCGGAGCACCGTGCCCCCCTTAATTTTGCCATTTTAGTATAGCCCTATGGGCGTTGCATGGAAAGAATGGGACCAAAAGTCGGCAGTGCCCCCCCCCCCCCTAATTGAAGGTGTTCCGCCGCTACTGGGAACTTGGAGCCAAGGAGTTCATAACTGGGGGACACCATGTACCCAGAAGTTTGCGACGCAGACAATCGTTACACATGAGGAAGAGGGAACGAACGTTGATCGACGAAACGGACATTGAGCGAACATTGACGAGCGAACGAGCGTTGAGCTACCAGTAAATAATGAAGTAGGGATCTGAAATTTTGACAGACATGTTTTTTCGTTAAACGGCACCGATTGAAGGGGCGCAAGGTATCTAAATACGATTTTCGAAAATAAGGACCACCCTACTGTGACAGTCACTGTGAATTCCGCTGTGTTGTTCATTGATGGTATGAACTGTGACGTGATGACTGTGACCGTGACCGTGTTGTCTAATTGTCTTACAGGCTCAAGATAATCCCAGCGGGTCATCCGGCAACACTGAACCGGATGATAATGACGGGCGGCCAGCTGCACCGGCTGCCCACCAGTCTGTGGAGCACCCTGCGGCCGCTGAAGCCGTTCCGCCGGCCGCTGGCGCTAGCCGCCCTGCGCGATCTCTGGGCGCCAGCAGAGCGCGGCCTCCAGGACGACAGCCTGTACGCGTTCGTGTCGCGTCGGTTCGGCGCCGACATCGCCCAGTTTGCCGTCGATCCGCTGGTGCGCGGCATCTGCGCCGGCGATGCGCGTCAGATCAGCGTGCGCTTCCTGATGGACACGCTGTTTGAGCACGAGCAGCGTCACGGCAGCGTGCTGTGGGGAATGTGGAAGGAGCGGGGCCGCACCGCGCCGCCCGACCCCGGCGTCAGCGAGCTGGCCCGTCGCGCTCAGAAGGAGCGCTGGAGCGTGTGGAGTCTGGAGGGTGGCCTGCGGACGCTACCCGAGGCACTGGCCGAGAGATTAGCGGCGGACGGAGTTAGTGTGCGGCTCGACTGCCCGGCGACAGAGTTACGACTGCGGCCGGACGGTGCCACGGTCTACACTGCGGCCGGGGAGCTGCACGCCAGCCACATCATCTCGGCGCTGCCGGCGCACGGGCTGGCTACTCTGGTAACCGACCGGGCCGTGACCGAGCCCCTCGAGCAGATCGAGTCAGTCACCGTAGCCGTCATCACACTGGAATACGCCGGGCAGTTGCTGCGCCAGCCCGGCTTCGGCTATCTAATTCCCTCGTGTGAGCCTGCCGGCGGTGTGCTCGGAGTGATTTTCGACACGTGCAGCTTCCCGCAGGGGGACCGCACCATCCTGACGGTGATGTCGGGCGGTGCAGAGATGGAACGGTGGTACGGCGCGCGGCCTGACCGGGAGCAGGTGCTGCGCGCCGCGCTGGACGAGGTGCGCCGCACGCTGGGCGTCACCGCCGAGCCCAGCCGTGTCTGTGTGCAGATCCAGGAGCGCTGCATCCCGCAGTACCGTGTCGGACACAAGGCGCTGGTGGCGCGGCTCAGGGACGCAGTGCGGGAGCGCCAGTGGCCCCTGCTGCTGGCCGGCGCCGCCTATGACGGCGTCAGTGTCAATGACTGCATTCTGAGTGGCCGGCGAGCGGCGGAGGCCGTCAGCGCGAGTCTGGGGGAGGCGTGAAGCGGGTGGGTCGCGACAAAGGGGGATACGGTGTTCAACGGTGCGTGGGATGGCTTATGCGATTTGTCGCGAAAAGTAATCCTCGATGTAAGTATGGTGGTGGATTTGGGCCTGTGTACTGTATAGCGCCCCGGTATTAAGTTTCAAAAATGCCAATTGATTTGAATTTTTATTTATGTGCTGTGACGCTGCTGTTTTGATATCTTTCGAGTGGTACGTAATTCCAACAATGCCAGTTAACGGACACTTGTTTATGGGGCGCTTTGATGCAGCTATTTCGTTCGGGAGCGTGCAAATATCGCCTAGTGATTTCGTTCATTGTCGGCTAGCCCGGATCCCAGCGTTGAACTGGGTGGCAATATGTAAAGGCGTATATTTGCTTTTTCCCGTTTTGTGACATGTTTAATGCCTTACATTCACTCTTAATTAGCTTGTCAAGCTTCTTTCCTGGCGAACCGAACGTTTGATGCGATATTAAATGTTACCCTTAGCCATACCATCACGCTGGTGTTCGTTGGGAGGTCGTAGCGTTTTAGAATTGGACACAATTGTGTCCCTCGACATGACGATACAAGACGTAGTGCTACGGCTTACGTCACAGGCATTGTTATTAGTGCCACTGCTTTGGTGCAGCTGTGATACGGTGAAGTCTGTGTGAATTGTGAAGTCTACCTCTTACTCTGCTCAGGCCGACGCTGGCACCGTAAGAAAATACATGTTTATACCTGGTACCCAGACTGTGACAGCATGCAATTTTTTTGTGACCAGGCAGAAATGGATGCCCTTTAACTGCCAGTAGCTCCCGAGATAGACAGTCCGTCAAACTAGCAACACTGTAATTATAGTGACATCTGTAATAAACTAACACGTCTGTAACCATAACACCTGGCGGAAGAGAGCTACAGACTAGGCAGAGGGCGGAACACATGACGACAGAGGTCGAGTAAGCGTAGGTTGACCGCCGGCGACCGAGACTTCATCTGCAGACACCTGCGGCATACTAACAGGCGCCACCTAACTAATTACACAGAACATAAATAGCGCGCCGCCCGCCTTCGATAAGCATCTGCCGACATTGCACGTAGTTCAGCGCTCCAGGTATTACATATCGCCGCAGCGCAGCGTAAACAACTACAGCCAGTCGCCAGCAGTGGACTGATATCTCACGTTTGGCTCCAGTTAAAACACCGAGCGTCGCCGGCCGTCATTTGGTATGTCATCACATCGCAGTACCAGTGTTCAGTCCGAACACTGAACAGTAACAGCGCACAGTTCGCAACACACAGTCATTGGATTATGGTCGGCGATCTCGAACGGTGACTATCCTAGTTTGTCCGGCCGCAACACCAGACACCTATCGTATGTCTTTTACCGCGTCGATTCGACATTCGATAGCCCCACAGATTCTCCCATGGTCGCATGCTACAGAGGACAGTACGAGCCTGACCATATCCCCCAGGTCAGTGTCATTCTCACTAACAACATGCACTGCGCACGTCTGGAAAAACCAAACACGGTTCAGGGTGGCAGAATACAGAGTAGAACGGAGCTTAGGCGTATTTTCTTTCAAATTTCACAGATATTTGTGACCGTTTTGTAAAACCTAGCAGATCTTTTTAGAAAACTTAGCGGAACTTTTCCTGCCAATTGAACATTACGACGTGCGTTTACCTCCTAGAATTTCGATTTCCATCGGGGCCGCTGTCCGGCTTAACTTAATTTAGCCAGGTATTTATAAAAATTAAGCATTGCATTCGTCATCTCATGATCGTAAATTATGAAAGTCATAAGTAATCAGCAGCCAGTTAATTTGTTAATGTGACGTGGTGGCAAAGTTCGCAAATCCCGAGGATTAATTATGTTAGACAAACCGCCAGCTTGTTAGATGCACTCCATAATAACTAGTCCAAAAGTAAACGTATGGCAGTTACTTGTTTTATGAACGCCTGCAATGCTCAGAATACTCGGCACATAAATAGTAACTCCCATCAAATAGGGTTTAACATTGGTTTATGAAAACCCTCTTCCCTCGATTGATCGTTTACGTACGGTCAGCATTATTTGACGCGATGACCCTAAGGCCCGGGCACCATTTGGTGCCTCCAAGAACGCCAATCTCCTGAAGCTCAGCTGCCGTACGTCACAATGACAAACCTCCTCGGGCAGCCTCTGTGATCATCCTTTGCCACCTCTTATCTCCCTGCAGAGCGCCGACAAGCCGCCGCCGCAGCCGCCTACCGCGACGGGCACCGGGTCTGGGTAATGCGCATGCCCTTCTGTCCGGACGGCTGGTCCCGGTCGGCGTCCGTCTCCTCGGCAACGTGAACCACAATCGACGGGTGCTCGTCGCGGCCGGCGTGCAGCTCATGTGACTCGCCTGCACCGAGAGGGAAGGGAAGGGGTCAGAAAGTGCAGGGGAGCACAGAAAGGCAGCGAGGCCAAACACAACACACTCAGCTGGGCTGGAGCGGATCCAATAGGTATATCATTGCGCTGATTAGTAGATGCAGCAAACGTGTAACAGGACCGCATAGATTTTGATCACATATTTTTTAGATTAAATTTTTAGATTGAAACTATCATAGAATCGTTTTGATTAACACAGCACAAAACGTAGATAGACGTCGACGGAGGGAATGATAAACCTAGATGACAAAAAGAGCATTTGAAACAATTGACTGGCAAATCATTAATGACTTGTCCGAAATGAGCTGGCAAACGACGCCGGGTCCCCATGCATCAGCAATGGTACTGAGTCCCACCATGGTGTTCCGTCGCGTCGGTCCGTGAGCTCACCTGGCGCCATCTGCGCGACAGCCGAGAGCAGGTCAAAGTTGACGATGGGCTCCGCCTCCCTGACGGGCTCCCAGCCGACGGGCGGTGACGCCGGCGGTGAGATGAGAAACTGTTTGTCCGGCAGTGGCGGCCGCAGCGTGCCGTCATCCGAGCCATCCCGGGACGACGGCGTCTGAAAAACAACGGCAAGCATCGGAGATCTTCATAGAGGAAGCCGTTGACCGACTGGATATGGCGACTATTTGAAGTAGATGACAGTGCTGCGGGTGGCAGTGTGATTACTGCCGGGACAGCCCAAATACGGAGCACAGCCACGCTTTGAAACGCTAATCATTAGCTGAGATTTAGCCCACTGCGGCCAGCAATGGACGAGATATTGTTTGCGGTACCGTAGTCCCTCCGCTGATTTGGGTAGCTGCAATTTATTTGATTCGTGAAACGTCCGTGATTTGTGGATCAAGGCCGTCGGCTGTCGACCTTTTACCAAACGCTTGGCTTATCGCTGACACATTGCTGCGAGACGGTACTGCTGCTATTGTTGGCACAGACCGCTGGCCCACTGGGTCCCGGCTCCGCCTCCGCCGGCCGCCGGGGATGTACGGTACGCTATCAGTCAAAGGGTGAGCAACACGGACCGTGAGCACCCCCACCCCAAACCCCACCCCCACATCGACGACTAGTCTACTTGATAGCCTCAGCGTAGACCACTATGACACAACACCAGCTATTGTCAGTCATATGTGGAATGTATCAGAAAAATGTCAAAGCATTGCGAGAGTGATATAACTCATCCAGCTTACGACCGAAGTTAGGCTTCAAACAAATTTGGAGTTCAAAACTGCTTCGTGGAATCGTTTCGTCGTCAAACATTTCAGCGCAGCTTCAGATGGGCGCTCGATAACAATTGATGTCAAAACGCTGTAGCCGTTCGCCGTCTTTATTCACCGTCAAAACATGTAGCCGTTCCACGCCTGTATTCACCGTCCACCTTCCACCGAGCCCCGCAACCGACTCCCCGCGCCGCCCGCCGCCCGACCCGCCGAGCGGCCCGCACCGCCCCAGGGCAGGCCGGCCGCCCGGCGAGCCGAGGCGCCGCCAGCTCGCGGCCGGCCACCCGAGCACACAAGCGAGATGCAAATTCCAATACCACACGTCCACATCTCCCCCCTTTAGCATCTCGCCCACATCAAAACACAAGGATCACCGCTATGACCAAAACACAAGAATCACCGTTATAACAGCATAACAGCGCCAATTCACATAACCTCTTCCAGACACAGAACACCGTCCTCGTGGCTCACATCCAAGAACAGGTGAGATCACAAATGATGAGTCCACAAATCACAAATGACTCCACAGATGTCATTGTTGGCCGTGACACGCTGGAGCGGCTGGGCTTGTGTGTGGACGTCGCCCGAAGATCGGTTTCTGGACGCAATTCTGATGGTTCCCATTGGACGGTTTACATGCCATTGAACCTCCAGCAGCCTGAGTGTATGATTTTTGTTGCTGACATTCCTTGCCGAGCAGCAGAAGATGTTGATATCGCCCCAGGGTGCTCAGTTGCTGTGCCCTACACCGTTCCCGAGCAGCCGCGCTGTTCAGAGTGTACGATCAGCCAGCGTCATCTTCTGTTTGAAGCACAGCCTGGTCTTGATGTCAGTCTTGTTCCTGGACTGGCGTGTGACAGTCAGCCCCGAGTTCTCGCCTGCAACCGTGGTCGAATGGCTGTCCGTATTCGCCGTGGTGAGGTTGTGGGTTACCTTGCTACTGCTGCAGACGCCAGCAAGGACTTGGAGCAGCCATGTGACGTGTTCTCAGTGAGTGAAGAGGAGAGCTGTGACGTGACGCTGTCATCAACAGAGGTTCCGGGACTGACGGTGTCGCAGCGCGCTGCTGTAGACGATCTATTTCAGCGTCACGCAGCAGTATTCAGCAGTTCTGCTTCTGATCCACTGCGCACGTCCCTGACTGCACACAGGATCGTCTTGAAGGACGACACGCCGGTTTACGTACCGCCCAGGAGGATGTCGCCGCCAGCAGCAGAGGAAATCGAGCGCCAGTGCCTGGATCTGGAGCGTCTGGGCATCATAGAGAGATGCGACTCTGCGTGGTCGGCGCCCGTTGTGCCAGTACGAAAGAAGGACGGATCTCTACGGCTATGTATTGACTACCGTCGACTCAACAAGCAGACGGTGGCCACCCGCTTCCCGATGGCCGACGTCACGGACTCAGTGTACAGCGCCCACGGCATGAAGTTCTTCACCACGCTGGACCTGGCCAAGGGCTACTACCAAGTGCCCTTGGAGGAGTCATCAAAGGACTACACCGCCTTCTCGACAGCACGGCAGCACTGGAGGTTCCGCAGGTTACCGTTCGGCTTGAAGAATGCTCCAGCAGCATTCCAGCGAGAGATGCAGACGGTGCTGCAGGGGTTCTCCAGGCGAAACCTCGTCATCTACTTGGACGACCTGCTCCTGATGGAGAAGAACTTTGAGAAGCATCTTCAGCTCGTGGACGACGTGCTCCTGGCACTCGAGTCGCAGGGCATCAAGCTGAATGCCAAGAAGTGTGTCTGGTTCCAGCCAGAAGTACCCTTCCTCGGCCACGTCATCAGTGAGCGAGGTCTGCGTAGATCACCAGAATACATCAAGAAGGTGCGCAGTCTGCCACGCCCTCAGACCGTGAAGCAGCTCCGACAGTTCCTGGGGGTGATCAACTTCCAGAGGAAGTTCGTGCGCCACTGTTCCAGCATCAGCAAGCCCCTGACGGACCTGACAGGCCAGCCAGGCCCCACAGTCATTACGTGGACGGACCAGATGACTGACGCCTTCGAGAAACTGAAGCAGGTAATGGAGGAGGAAGTCACGCTGGCCTTCCCCGACTACACAGAGGACGCGCAGCCTCTCACTCTTTGGACAGACGCGTCTCAGGTTGGGGCGGGGGCCTGTCTGACTCAGGAACAAGACGGAGAAACTCGTCACATCGGGTTTGCCTCAATGACCTTCTCTCGCTCACAGCAGAATTACTCAGTCACCGAACTGGAACTCGCAGCTCTCCGTTGGGGTGTCGTCAAGGCCTTCAAGCCATTCCTCGGTGGCGTGTCATTTAGAGTCTGCACGGATCACCAGGCACTGGTGTACATGCACAGCATGCATCTTGTCAACAGTCGGATCGCCAGGACGATGGAGGAGCTCTCGGAGTTCGACTTCACGATCTGCTATGTGCCAGGGTCATCCAACATCGCCGCAGATATGTTCTCTCGTGCTCACCCACTGCCGACGGAGCTCCCGGCTGTCTGTCGCCAGTTGCCAGTTGGTCTGGATCTGTACTACAGAGCTGAGGGAGGAGGTGATGCACTGATCGACTGCCTGTGCCACTGGATGGAGGAGAATGACCGCCGGCCTGCACAGAACCACCTGCTCCGAGAACTGCTGGTGGGCGAAGTGATGAAAGCACCGGGCAGGTTCAAGATGAAGTTGGATCGACGCGCACGACAAACACTCAAAAGCATGAAGGTCCCAGGTCAGCCGTTGTCTGTTGAGATGGTGGCGGTGTTCGCTACTCTGATGAGGGTACGGGTCATCGTCCACTTCGGTGGCCATCATCCCATGATCTTCACCGGTCCAGACGGGGAGGAAGTGGCTGGTCAAGCTCTTCATCTCCAGTGTCTGGAAGTTCTTGTTCTCCTTCAGCAAGTTGAAGTGGACTCCTCATTTGTCAAATGTTATTCACAGGAAATGTGTCCTTGCTACAACTAAATCCCTTACTAATTGTGAATAATAATTAGGGTTAATTGCAAGCAGCCCCTGACCACAATCATGGTTTTGTGCATGTATATTTTTACGCCACCCGTCGCCACCGGTCGGCTGACTGGGAGCGTAGGACGTGAAACTTTATATGGCTTCCCACTGTGGACCATGTCAACCTCTGGCGGGGGAGCGTGGGCAGGGAGCGAAGGCTGGCGGGGTCCTCTTCCTGGCTGAAAAGACATCTTTCCGCAACAACGCATCCTTCAAATAATTGGAAAACAATTATGATATGGCAGATATGACTAGCACGTAAAAAGCACTCGTAACTGCATATTGCGTATTGTGACGAAATAACAGCTAGGTACCTTTCAAACAACGGACAAAAATGTACCAAAGATTCAAAATTCATATCAAACTGGCGTGCATGTTCCGCACGGCTCAACACAGTACCTGTATGAAGTAGCATTTGATGACGGCGTCGCAGAGCGTCGTTTCGTGCAGGTGAACCCGGGCGCTGGCGGCCGCCTTGGCGCTGCTGTAGTTGACCCGTGCACGCCGGAAGCTGGGAAAGTACTGGAACCACGCCTCGTCGTCGAAGGCGCCGAACGTGTCCTCGAACACAGCCTGAAAAGTAGCTATAGTGAATCAGCGACTTTGTTCAGCTGGTTCGAAATGAAGAAGTCAGTGTCCGTAAAAATAATGTAGGTATGCAACAGCAGAACCTCCCGTTCTGTCTACGAACCTATAAAATATGGTCGATAAAATTACATTATCACTTCCCTGCTTTAGCAAAATATTGGTCGAAGTCGCGATTTTGAAATATCATTCAAGTTGCAACCCCAGACAGGCGCTTGTATCGCGAGAGATATCATCTTGGAACAACCGTGCTTTTCCCGTCAACCCACTGCCCAATCATCCAACCACCCAACTCCAACGTAACCGTACAAAATATCGCCACTTCGCCCAGCGGCGAGCACCCACCTTCTGCGCCGGGTCCTCGAACACGGGCAGCGGCAGGTTGGTCACGTGGATCGAGGTGGGCAGGTCGGCGTCGTCCAGCAGCTGGGCGGTACCGGCGGCCAGCGCGGCCGCCAGCGCGTCCTCACTGGGCTCGTCAGACGACCTGCTGGCCGTGCTGTCCTGCGACTCTAACGAGCCGCCGCGACCGGCGCCCGCTGACATGCTGTCTGATCCTCCGCCGACAGTTCACAGTGCAGCAGTCTGCAACTTCTCAGTGAGGCTGGGATCGCTGTAAAAGTATTACAGGAGTCAACTCAAAGTCAACCCAAGCATCCAAATTTGTGCTGAATTATCACTAACTGACTGTTCAAACAAGCAAAATAAACAGTCCTCTTATTTATAACTATACTAATTACCTACTAACTACTAACTAGCTATTTTATTACTTGTGTTAGTTTACTAATTCACTAGTTTATACATCATAGCTGGAAATATAACTAATATTCTTATAGCTAGAAAACTCATGTAGTTGATCCCACAAGCAGGGTCCCACTCCTGGCCCAAATATGCCTCCTCAGTGCTCACTATCTGCATGGCATAAGACATAGTGAGATGTCAGCAGCTCCAAATTATCAGGTGCTACCAAGCTCATATGCTGCAGTTGCATGATACTGATACATTCTTTACATATTCCACTTTGTTTCAAGTCAGATGGTCTATGGTCATAAAGCTTATAAGGTCAAAGAGATAAGAATTTGTGCTGCACTAGCACACCCATTGAACTGGTTTAGCTACTCTGGATTTCAAATTTCCTACATGTTGTGAACATTAAGTGACTGCATCTGCTGACTGCAGTGCTAATGCTTGGGACTTTGGACCCTTTTCTATCAAAATTCAATCCCTTTGATAAGCTGCACTTATAAAATAATTCAAATTTCTAATGAATCTGAGTTATAATTCATATGCAAGAAGTTTTCACAGACCATTTCACACCCAATGATGCTATTACCAATGCAACTATACTATTGACAGTGGAAAGATTTCCACAGTGGGTCTGGGAAGACTTAAATCAACAATACCAACACCTATCATTAGAGCACCATTGAGGTGTTTGCTGTAGGATTTACACTAGATTTGTTGTGCTAGGGCTTCTTGCAATATTGATGTTGAACATTTTCACAATAATCATAGAGATCTTTTGTCATTTCAATTTTGACACGTACCAAAGTAACAGCCTAAATAGATATCAATATTGCAATTTGCAAGATAGGCATCTCGTAAAAATAAGCACTTTGAACTTACAGCTTACGACCCCACTGCTTTGGCCCCACCTCACTGCTCTCCACACATGAAAATTGAGAACCCCATGTCAACACTTCCACAGCATCTTAGTAGCCCACCTCAACTGCCATCTTGCATCAACTGATCACAGTGCGTAAACTTGGAGAGGGCATTACTTTTTAGCTGAACTTCAGTCTTATGTTTCAGGAGAAAAGCTTAGGAATCAACCCAGTTTCCAGTTTTGAACGAGAGGATTGGGATAAGTTTCCATCCAAGGCTGCTAAGAACCCTTAGGCTGAATGGGATGAATTGAAATTTTGATTTGCAATATCAAAGGTCAAAGGTCAAGTGCAAAGCAGTTTGAACGGACGATTATGAAGTTGCAATCGATAACAATGCATTACCAGGACAGAGGACTAGAAACGTTATAACAATAAGCTGTAATGTATATAACAAAATACAAAATTCGACCGCATAACTTACCTATATAAACGAACGCTCCACCGAAATTTTTAGTTTCTTTTCATGACGATGCGTCATGCAAAATATTTTTTGCGCCATCAACTTGTAGATGCTGCGTCAGAAATGGAAAAGTTTAGGTGACTGTTCATAAAGTTCGCTTATTCTACTTGCAGACGTCAAAACGCGAATCAACGACAATATAAGCCGCTCTGCAGTGCGCGACAGCATTACGAAACCAGTTTTGAACATTTTGTTTTCATAAATGTTTTCTTTTGATCCCAGGGCTGTTCACGGGGCCTGTGTGCGGTCGGACCGCACACAGCCACGGAGCTCCGCCCACTTCGTCCCTACGTCAGCCTTCCGTCACCGCACACAGCGATCGCTGTGGCCGGTCGGGACTGGCCACAGCGGACCGTCCACCGCACGCAGCCGTGACGTCAGAACCGCCTACCCATCCCCTACCCCCACGCCTGCTGGACGCACCGCACACACCGCACGCAGCAGTGTGCGGTGCCCGTGAACACCCCTCCCGTTGGTTTTCGTCCTAGCGTTTCCGATTTTCCTCTTCCCGAATTTCAATTTGTGAATTGTGAAAGCTCTTTGACTTGGTGGGTTTATCTCATGCTTGATCTTTAAGAGTCTTGGATGGGTTATTATTAAGTCCTTAGGTAAGGTGGCCTGTTATTAATTTGCTTTCCCATGTGACCAGAAATAAAATGATGTTAGATCATGCTGGTTCAGACTTCAGGCATGGGCTATTATTTTTGCTATAATGATTCATGTTCAGTCAGGCACGTAGATAGGTAGGTAAGTATTTAATTTATTTGATGTCATTATTTGAAAAGATGTAAACGGGTCTGAAAAGTTAAGCGCAAAGCCGCAAAGTAGAAGTGTCTAACTGATTATTAGTAAATTGAAATGACTATGACCATGAGCAAGATTTAATTTAGACAAAGTCAAGGGAGTCATAAAGTGCTTTAAATTATCAGCTGAAAATTCAGTCATTGGAAAGATCTGTAGCCCAGACTCCAGCATGAAATGTGCATTGCTTAGGTACATATTTTGTATCACTTCTTGGATGGTTATTAGTGTCATAATGCACACTTCCTCACTGTCTGCAATTATTTATCTGTCATGATGCTGATTCTCATTTTCACAGGATAAATCTCTAGCTGTACAGCTGAGTACTTGTAAAGCTATCAGCTGCAGTTGAAAATGGCAGCACGTGCTTTCCGCTGGCGAAGGCCTTACACAGTAATCCTCTCAGCTGTTGGCCTACTGATGTTATGTGATCTGTTTGGGGTGTTCAGACATATGTTTGAACTTGATTATGATACCCATTTCACATACCCACTGGATAGTGAGGTTAATTTCTATGTAAATTTGATGCTAAGTGGCCAGCAGTCACCAGTCACTCCCCTGGAGTCACACCAGTTTCGATACCTGATCGATCCACGGGAGCGATGCAGTGGGCAGAGACCCCTGCGGCTGTTGATCGCCATAAAGTCTGCACCGGACCACGTGGAGCGGCGGCGCGTTATTCGACAAACGTGGGCTGAGCTACGCACCGACGTGCGTCATGTATTCCTGCTTGGCACGCGCGCTGGCGATTACGAATTGCAACGGACCGTGCGCCGTGAAGTGGAAGAATACAATGACATCGTGCAGGCCTACTTCCAAGACTCTTACTACAATAACACTCTGAAGACGATGAGTGGGTTCCGCTGGGCGATAGAGCGGTGCGCCGATGCCGAGCACACGCTGTTTGTCGATGACGACATGTACGTGTCGGTGCCGAACGTTCTGCGGTTGGCGGAGCAGCGGGCCGAGTACCCGGCGCCGGAGGGCAGTACGGCCGCCGCCGCCGTGCCGCAGCCCGACTCGCCGCTGCTGGTCGGCTACGTGTTCCCGGCGTCCTCGCCTCACCGCCATCGGTTCAGCAAGTGGTTTGTGCCTCTGCAGGAGTATCCCTTCAGTCGGTGGCCGCCCTACTGTACGGCCGGTGCCTACGTGGTATCTCGCTCGGCCCTGCGAAGGCTGCTGTACACGAGCTACTACACGAAAATGTTCAGGTGAGAGTCGATACGTTGGAGAATATTAATGATTTAATAAGTCCTGTCCTCAAGATTTTCCGTGAACTAGCCGTCGACACTAAATATATTGATATTTACCTATATAAAATATATGAATGAAATGCCTCAGAATACGGATGATGCACATTCTCGCACTATGCCTATCAGCACTGACTTGTTTAGGGTAAAATGACTTACACTTACAGACTGTGTGGTTGCGGTGGTTTGTTATTCTGCCCCTGTGTACCCGTCTCAGCCTTCGCTTATTATTACTGCCGTCTTTTCGTTACGACCTACGAAACATCTATCTGATGATCTGCATTGCCTTGACAGGTTTGATGACATATACCTGGGCCTGGTGGCGCAGAAGGCCGGGGTAAAGCCACTGCACACCGACTACATCCACTTCTGGGAGCAGACGTACAGCCCGGACGAATTTCGACACGTGGTGGCCGCTCACGGCTTCCACGATCCGAGTCGGCTGCTGGCCGTCTGGAGCGAGCAGCATAAGCTCGGCAACGCCTGACGACTTTACTGGTGATGTACCGCCTCTTCCTGTCTATTTGAATCGTGTGATAGACACACCGTGGACAGACGATCAAGCGAGACTTATGAAGGGTCGTGTTTTATAGTTTGCTAGACTACACGATACGAGACATCAGTCGGCGGGTACCGGCTCAGTGGTGTGAAGACGCTTATCGGAGGATGGTCTTAAATGTATACGTACCTTGTAAACGATCGACAGTGCGTCAGGTAGTCCACTCGATGATAATAATGGGTCTTAACTATTGGAGTAAAGCGTTACGAGGTAACGTGATCTCCATGAATTCCACTGAAGTGAGGAAGTGTGCCGATGCTGACCATTTACCCGTTGATATGGTGGTGTCGACGATACGTGTGCCTAGCAAGACTGCCGCTCGGCTCATACAAGTTCTAACGTGAGATTGGTATAATCATCTGCTTACGTGCTATGAGCGAGTGTTTGCATTATCGTTTGAAAGTTGTTATGGCATAAATGCTAGTCATAGACCTACTATTCAGGGTGTGGGGAAACCTTGAAATCGCAGTGTGACATGATGCTAGGTCTTCCGTCGTCCCCAAAGATCCATTGTTACCCGAGTTGCAGTTGACCTCTGCGTTCGAAGATCTCAAATACTGCATTGCCGCGTTTGCATATTGTCTTAGAGGCTCGATTGGTGACAATCAAGCTCAGACTGTGATTAGGGTGTTTTCAAGCGTGTAGAAACTGATCTGTGCTAGCTTTATCATCCGAACTATAATTATTGCGTTGCTGTTTTTTGCATCGTTAATCCCGTGTGAACAATTCATATTTGACAGGGGAAAATAAAGTTAAAGAAAGCTTCAGGTGAACCCATACCGGGCGATTTTAATTGTACATTGTACTTACCAAGCAGTGCGGGAAAAGAGGGTTTAAATAGCATGTTCACGGAGGAGTGACCGATCCGCCGTACTGTCGCGCTATTTCTTAGCAATGGCACGCCAAATTCCAGTACCCGCCACTAGTAGAAAAAGTGTTTACTTTTTTATGCAAAGTGTGAACGTTTTTTATAGACTTGCAGGGGCAGATCCAGGCGATCCGTTTGGGGAGGGCAAAAGTTTCCCACCCATTCGGCGACCCCGACCCACCGCCGCACCGGTGACCAAGCGACTTTACAACGCCACACTGAATGCATTCAGTTCAGGGGGTTACATCTGTTACTATATCAGCGTACCGACCCAACTCATTGGCAGCGAGCGGTCAGCTCCTTCCTTCAGAATGGCCGTCACGGCAAGTCCTGCTTTTCGTCCAGATATGCATCGCCATCGACGCCGTATTAGATTTGCTCGTCTTTACTTGCTTTGGGAGGGGCAAAAAGATAGTCTTACCCACACGATTTAGCTTCGGGGAGGGCGAACGCCCGTTTTGCCGTTTTGCTGAATCCGCCACTGTATAGTGTACAAACGTTTCTTTGTTTGTTTTGTTGGTTTTATTGGGTTAGGCCCTTTCGGTGCAATGAGACAATTTCAGAGCCGGAAGGATGATAGGAATTAGGCGGAGACATTGGTTTGGACAGGCACCCTAGTGAGTCACCGGGGCTGAGCCCGTCCCGAAACACAGGCCGACCAACCCCGGCCAAGGTACTCACTGGACCCGACTACCGGGTGCGCTCCCTCGGGAGCAGCAGTGCCGCTCCAAGGGAGCAGCCCGCATTTAAGGTGCCTGTCCAGCCTGGAACGGGGTTTGCGGCATGGATGATGATGATGATTTGGAGTGACAGGGCGCACCAGCTGCGAGGCTATATCGCGCCCATTTCTTATTTGACTTCCTCAGTGTCGGGCGTTAAAAATCACCTGAAGGCCGGAGGCCGCAATAAACGAAAAGAGGCGAGAAGAGTCAAGCAAAGAGGACTCGTCACCTAAGACTGCTCTCAAAGAAAGTTGGGCTCCGCGCAGGCCCAGAAACTTCAGCCGCTCAGCTTCCAGTCTTGGACACTCCAGAAAAACGTGTCGGACGGAAAGTCTGTCGCCACATCTCGCACAAACAGGTCTTGGGCCGACGCCAATAAGGTGTCCATGGGTACCGAAAGTGTGTCCTGTGCGAAGCCGACAGAGGATGACCTCCTCTCGACGCGACTTCCGTGACGCAGACAGCCAGGTTGCCAAACCCGGTTTGATGCGTAGCAGCTTGTTTGTCTGACATTTGCTCCAAGCCTCCTGCCACTTTCCGCGGAAGAATGAGCTCACCGTAGGGAAAAAGTCCCTGGCCGGTAGAGGGAACCGGCGGGAGCAGGGCTGCCGCGCCGCATGGTTCGCAGCACGGTCCGCCCGCTCATTGCCAGCTATACCAACATGGCTGGGAATCCAGCAAAAAGTCACTG